TTGATTGATGATTTCGCCATCAGAAAAGCAGCCTGTGCTACCTTTCCTTCCCGGACTCGTACTCAGGTAAACGCTGGGCCTCCATTCGAACGGACTTGATGCCAAACGTGACATTGGCATCGGCATTTCCAGGCTGACGCGGGTTCAAACCCGTACCCGCCGCTCTGTCTCTTCTTGCTGTGCGAAGCGGAGGGGGGCGGGGCGGGGACGGGGACGTGTCTGTGGGCGTGTTGGTGAAAAACAAACAACCAATACAAAGAAGATCAAACGAAGCTACTCGCCTTCAATTTGGCAGGATATTTGCAGATTGGGATTATTGTGTAGCTTTGTGACCTTTCGGTGTTCAGAAAATAATCCGTGACCCAGTTTGTTTATTTTTGATGTCCTTGTGTGGTCAGAAGGGCACCGAAATGCATGATGATGATGATGATGATGACGATGATGGAGCTGTCGGTTCGATCCCCAGGATGCATCGGGGACACTCAGTTCAGCTTCAGGATGCGTCAGTCTGTCGGTCGCAGACATTCCCGACCGCGCAACGACCGATACAACAAGGACGCCCCCGCTGCCCTGCAGGTAACCGTCACGAGGTCAAACCAAAGAGAGAAGTCGTCATCACTTGCAAAAAAAAAAAACATCAGACGGTCGGTCCGCTTTGTCCCTCCTTAGAGTGAAGCGTCACACTTCTACGGTTACGTTTACTTCCGACAAGTCAAGGACCCGTCAGTCAAGCGAGGATACTTCCAGAAGGTGAGAGGGCGCCGCACAGTGACTTGAAATGGAAAAAGGAGAGAAGGAAATGTGCGCGTGAGGGCTGAAGCCAAAGGTTGTGGACTTGATGAGATTGTTGAAATGTCCAATGCCAGACTTGAGCTTGGAATACTTGATTTCTGTCAAGAAATGTGGAAGGAGATGTCAAAACCTGCTTTTGGAGCCCTTTTTTGTTTTCCTTGATGTGACGTCCGAGACCCCAAATCGTGATCAATCGACGTTCCGAATGAGACCAACTTTTTCTGGGTGGAGGGCTGTGAAATATTGTCTGATCAATGTCCAAAATCACTCTGGAAAGCGTTTCTTTGTTTGGGAATTGAATTGTGCAAAGAGTGCATTTTGGGAAGGTGTCAAACCGTGGCCGGCCGGCCGGCGGGCGACGCGACTCGATAATGGCGACGTGCCTTTGTTGCAGTCCTTGGTTCTGCTGTCGCGGCTCCCTTTCATTCAGCTCTTCCACTCCGTGCTGCGCATCGTCGCGCCAGACTTTTTCCACAAGTCACAGCCCTGCCGTGTCAAACCGTAGATCACGCACGCACGCACGCACGCACGCACGCACGCGCAGGCGGCGATCGTGACGACGACGACGGTCAGACATTCGTATCTGTGCCGCAGTGTGCAAGCAGATGGACCAGTGGCCTTTCCTCGCCGCCGGACTGACCTTGAACCTCCCGCTCTTGGGTGCGGTGTTACAGGTGAGGCCAGCGCACGGGCTTTTATTTTGGCGCTGCTTCCCGGCCCCCGGCTGAATGTATTTTTGTCCTCAGGTCCAAATTCCGTGCCAGAAGGACAAAGCGGGAAGTCCGGTCAGGGCCTCTCCCAAGGAGGTCAGGCAAACGAATGACATTTGAGATGAGATACTCTTTGCTTGAAAGATTTGAACATTTGACCCAACGATAAGACGGCGTTCAAAGGAGGTTGTCGAAAGCGGCGAAGGCAGTTTGCATCCAAAATAAGCCCAGTTGTCATTATTCTCCAAAAGATTTCAATCCCCGTGCACCGTGCTATTCAAAACTGTTTTTCGAGTCATATTGCCGCGGACCAAAATGAGCAGGGTCTGTCGGGCAAAACGCCCCCCGCCCCATTTCGAACCAGACAAGCGGCCCGTAGCCGTTTTGGCCAGTGAAAAAGTCACGGCGAGCTGTGCGCTTCCGAGCCACGGCCCGGAGGCCGAATTTCGACAGGACGCGGCGGCGCCGTCCCGTCCCGTCCCGTCCCGTCTTCCGTCGTCCGCTCCGAATTGTCTCTGGTTGCAGGCGGCGCTCCCAATCGGGACGCGTGGCGACGCGGCGCCCGGGCCGACCCTGCTGCCTTCCGTCCATGAGCCGGACCTCTTCAGGTCGCTCGGGCTTCCCGTTTCTCGTCCGACCGCTCGGCTCTCGCCGCCGACCTGACCCGCCCGCCGGCCTTTTTGATCTGCGCAGCTGTTTCCGCTCGGTCCTGATCCATCTGCAGTTGTTGTGGGAACTGGCCTTGCTGGGCGAGCCCGTGGTGGTCATGGCGCCGTCTCCGGCCGCCTCCTCGGAAACCGTCTGGGCGCTCGTCAGGTACGCCGCCCCGAGGGCGCGGTCGTCGCGGTCACCCGTGTCACCCGTGTCACCCGTGTCACCTTGCGCGACCTCAGCTGCATCGCCCCGCTCAAGTTCTGCTGCGATTTCCGGCCGTACTTCACCGTCCACGACGGCGAATTCCGAGAGTACACCACCAGGACGCAGGCGCCGTGAGTACGAGCGCCCGGGTGCCCTCGCCCCCCCCCGCGGCTACCCGAGCTCGCGCTGTCCCCCGCAGGCCCAACGTGATCCTGGGCGTGACCAACCCCTTCTTCATCAAGACCTTCCACAACTGGCCTCACGTGCTGCGACTGGGAGAGAACGCGACAATGTCAGGTGACGGCGCCCGCCGGTCCCGTCCCGTCCCGTCCCGTCCGCGCTCTTCGTCCGCGCCGCTCTGAGACGGGCCGCCGTGGCGTTCTCTCGTCAGGTGACGTCCCGAAGCAGCTGAAGATCAAGAAGGTGGCCAAACTCAAGACGCTCGACACCAAACCAGGTGGGTGCGTGCGTGGGCGCGGGGCTTTTTGCGCGCGGGTCTTTCCGCTCGCGTGCGCTGAGTCCCGCTGTGGCGATGGCGCAGGCGTCTTCACGGCCTACAAGAGCTTCCTGCTCAAAGACAAGGTCCTCGTCAAGCGACTGCTGAAGGTAAGAGCGGGCGGCCGGCCGGCCGGCCCGCGGGCCGACCCTCGGCCGCAAAACGAAGCCAGCGGCGCCCCTTCCCTTTGTCGGCAGGGCATTCAGAGGCGGCGGCCTTCCGAGGTGCAGAGCGCCATCTTGAGGAGACACTTTTCGGAGCTGACTCACAGCTTCATCGGCCCGCTGGTAAGACGGCGCCGAACCGCTCCATCGCGTTCCCGTTTTCCCAACGCCGCGCGCTTATGCCGCGCCACCCGGACCTTTGTTCAGGAGCGCTACATGGCCGGCCTGATGCCGCCGAGGAGGTCCGTGACGCCCTGGAAGGTAACCGACGCCGAGCGCGCCGCTCCCGTCTGGCCGCGGCTCATCCGGGACTTTTGCGCAGACGCCCCCGCAAATTCGGCCCTTCGCTCAGGAAGAGTTCATGTCGGCGCTGGAGCGCGACGGCCCTCGGCCGACCTCCGCGGCGCGAGGCGATTGGGCGGGACTGTACAGGTACGGCCGTCGCGCCGCCGCAAGCGGCTTGGGCTCAGACGCCGCTCGTCCCGTCCGCAGGAAGTTCTTCAAGTCCCCCAATTTCGACGGCTGGTACCGCCACCGTCTGCGAGAGATGAGCGGCAAACTGGAGAGCCTCCACCTGGAGGTCATCTGCGAGGCTGTGAGGAGACGGACGGCGTCATCGCCGGACTTTGCGTCCCGCCCCCGCGCTGACAACCGTGTGCCGCGTCCCGCAGGACCTGCTGGGATGGACTCGCGACAAGTCTGAAGTGGAGATTGTCGACTTGGTCGTGAAGCTGCGAGAGAAATTGGTGAGCCCCAGTCATAGAAATGCGTCACCGGCCTCCCTTTTCCAGCTCGGCGGCGGAACCCGAGCGCACCGGTTGCGTATTTGTTGCCATCCTTCAAATTCCGGGCTCAAAATCGGCACTTTTGAAAAGCGGAAACGTCGGCGTATTTGGCGGCTCCCCAAAAGCCATCGCAAAGTAGGAAGCAAAGTCGTCGCTTTGGCGGTGCGGCAAAGCGGCGCAAGGGCGTTCGCGACTCCAACCTCGGGACGCCCGGCGTTTTCGGGTGTCTTGCTCACTGTTAATGAGGACGAGCGTCAAAGTGGGGCCTTGCGCCGGACAGTACCGGGGGCCGAGTCCAGGGCCCGCCACGGCACGGTAGCTAGCGCGCGCTTGTTCCGAGGCCCCGTCAGCCTCTGCGTGAACTGCGGCCGGAAGCGCGACGTGCTCGGCTTGGCGCTTGTTCGGGCCGGTCCGCACGGCGGCGGGCTCGGCGTCGCGCCTCGACAGGAAACGTTTCAATTTCCGCTTCCTCGTCGCGGGTGGCGGAGTCAGAGGTCGTCCACCGGCAACGTACCCCACCCCCCGTGATTGAGAGGAAAGAAACGCCATCTGTGCTGCATGTTGCACAGAGGGCACATTTGACAATGAAGTTGACTTGAACATCTTTTGCTTCCTCCGGCGGCGAGGCAATGCGGAATCGCCAAAGCTCGGAGGCGTATCCGCCGCCCGCCCGCGCGCTCACAAAGTTGCCCGCGTTTTGATCCAAGCGGTCGGACAGAGTCTTAGCGATCCCACGGCGGGCGCAGGTGCAGGCGCAGGCGCAGGAGCCGGCCAACCGCTTGAATGTGATGCCGCCGCATCGCGACGCGTGCTCCAAACAACAAAGATTCAAAAGCCGGCCGGGGTTAGCGTTGGAACCAAGCGGCGCTTTGGAGTCCAAGCCACGCCAACGTGCGCGCGTGCCTGCTCTACTTCTTCCATTCAGAACTTTGCTGCCGTGAATTGGGAGCGCAGGTGTTGCGAGGCGAATAAAGGTTTTCTGATCTTATCTTATCTTATCTTTTGCAGACGAGAGCCGCAAGGCAGCGGCCGCGGCCGACGGCCGACCCGGTCCGGAGGCTGGAATCGCTGATCGGGGCCATCGTCAGCTCGCTGCCCAAAGACCTGCAAGCTGTGCTGCGCGCGCAATGACGCACGCTCGCACACGTCAGGTCAGTGAACGTCGGCGTGCCATTCCAGACATTTTCTTTCTACGAGCCGGTTCCCACCCCTCGCCCCCCCACGAAACGACGTCACCCTTGATTAGTGACAACGGAGCATTTATTGCAACGGTCGGCATCGCGGTCTGGAGTACAAAGAAAAGAACAAGTCGACGGCTTCCTTTGGGAAAGCGAACGGCCGGCCCGACGTCATCTTTTGTGGCCGCTCCACCACGGCGCCCCCTGCTGCCGGAGGACCGACTGTTTCTCCTGCGGACTGAAGTGAAGGATGCTGAGGATGGCGTTGAGCGTCTGCTGCCTGCCGCTGGCGTCGGGCAGCGTCAGGAAGCGGTAGATGACGTTCTTCAGGTACTCCACGTTGGAGCCCTCCCGCTTCTGCTCGCGGCTCAGCTTGTCCAGCTGCGCCCGCAGCGCGCCGCTTTCGTCGTCGTGGCGCTGGGCGCCGGCCGCCAGTTTGCAGTGCAGCCGGCGGACGTCGTCCTCCAGCTGCCGCTTCTGCCGCCTCAGGCCCGCCGTCTCCGCTTCCTTTCGGGCCAGCTGCTCGGCGTACAGGAGCGGCGCGGGCTCGCCGGGCGCGGCCCGCCGCAGGGCTCGTCCCACGCCGTCCGCCCGACGCTCCTCCCCCTCCCCCTCCTCCTCCTCCGCCGTCACTCTCGGCGCGGAGAGGGAGCTGGGGGCGGAGACTCGCAGGAGCTCCACCTCCCGGTCCTTTTCGTCCAGGAGCGCCACGGTCCTCTCCCGCTGTTTGTGCAGCTCGTCTTCCAGACGCATCAGCTCGTCGCGGTGCGTCGCCTGCTTGCGCTCGGCTTCCTGTCGCTGGCGGCGCAGCAGCTCCGCCGCGCGCTGCTGCTGTTGCTGCAGCGCGCGGCGCTGAGCGGCCGCCGCCTTGTCGCTCTCGACGCGCAAGCCGACGTACTTCTCCCGCAGGTCGGCCAACTGCTCGCGGGCCTCCTCCAGCTCGCGGGACGCGGAGCTGCCGTCGGCGTGGCTCTTGTTGGATGCCGCCTGCGCGGAAAGACGCGGGAATACGTTAGCCGGCTTCAGGTCCGCGTACTCGCTTTCCTCGCGTGCCGGTCGAACAAGGATGTTACTTGCGACGTGTCCTCCAAGAGTTGCGGCCTTCTCGAGCGCACGAGTCGGGGCTTTCCTTCAGGCCGTTTTCAGCACGCGTCCGATATTTCGGCGCGACGCCGCACGAGCTTGGCAGTGAAAACGACCGACACGGGAGCGCGTGCGCCTGCGAGGCTTTGCGCGTACCTTGGCCCGTAGCTTGCAGCGCTCCAACTCGTCCTTGAGCTGCCGCAGCTCCTCGTCTCGGGCGGGTTCCGGCTCGCTCGGAGTCCCGGCGGGCGGGTTCCTCTGAGCGGCCAGCAGCAGCAACTTCTTCACCTTCTCCAACTTGTCCTTCAGGGCCGTCGTGTCCAGCAGGGAGTCGTCCGGGCCGGGGTCGTACGCGGACCTGCTCGAGGCCAGCGTTCGATTCTCGGCGTCCAACTGCGCCAGCCGTTCTCGGAGTCTCTGAGCCGCCTGGTGCTCTCGCTGCCTCGCCTTCTCGCAAGAACCCAGAAGGTCCGAGAGCTCAGACACCCGCTGCTCCAGACCGCCCACCCGGAGTTCCGCGGCGTGGGCGCGCGCCTCCTCCTGACACAGCTGCGTGCACACGCGCCCGACGTCATTCTGCTTCCGACGCGCGAGAGGACCTCAGCTTTCGCCGAGAGCAGTCCGAGTCCTACCTTGTGGTTGTGGTTGCGGATCTGGTCCTGGAGGCTCTCCTTGAGCCGGCTCAGCTCCTGCCGCAGAAGCTCCAGCCCGGGATCCGCTTCCTCTCGTTCCTCCTCCGCCGACCGCAGCTTCCGCCTCAGCTGCTCGCGCTCCTCGCCGGCCCGCCTCAAGAGCGCCTCCAACTCAACCTGGCGGTCGGCGGCGTGCGCCGCCGCGAGACGGCCGGCGTTGGCCTCGTGGAGGCGGAGCTCCGCGTCCTGTCGCAGGTCTCGTTCCTGCTGCAGGATCTTCTGCAGCTCTTGCAGCCGCTGCAGCTGGTCGCTTTGTTCGCGCTCGCGCTCGTGCTGCTGCGTGATGACGCGAGCGCGGCTCTCCGCCAGCTGCGTCTGGAGGCCGCGGACCTCGGCCTGCTGCCGCGCACTCGTTGCCGCGAGGCGCTCCTGCAGGTCGTCCACTTCCTGCTTGAGTTGCCGCTTATCGGCCTGGAAGCTGGCCTCCATGCGCGACTTCTCTTGCGTCACGGTGGCCAGGGCGCCGGCGAGCGTGCCCACTTGGGCCTTCAACTGAAGCTCTCGCCCGTCGCGATCGGCCGCTACGGCGCCGACTTCCAACCCGCAAGTACTCGCCCCTTCCGCCGCATCTTCCTCGCTCGCGTCCGCGCCGTCTCCGCGATCCTGAAGGAGGGCGGCCCGCTCGCAGAGTTGCCGGTTCGCATCCGCAAACTGCGACGTGCTCAAGACTTTCAGACTGGCCTCCAGGGCCTCCTTTTCCTTCATCAAACTCTTGTACGCTTGGACCACATCCTTGAAGCGACTCTGGTACTGTGCGAGCTGCTTCTTCTGGGACTCGAGCGTTTCCAAAAGCTCCTTTCTGCTGGGACCTCCCCCGAAACTCATTCCAAACTTCTCCATGACCGGACTTGACCGGATCCGCCTCAGCTATGCCGAAGTCACCGCCGGACTGCTGCGAGGATGAAGGCGGCGTGTGACGAGCATAAGAAGCAGGCTTGTCGCTTTCCAAAGGTGTGGAAGAGAAACGCGTTCGCGGCGTTTTCCGCGTGATCTATCTTCCCGCTACGACCCAGAAGTAGAACTTTTTGGAATATTTGCCGGTCACGTGATACTTAAATGATTGGAATCGTCTCAAAAGATCCGTATTATATTGCTGACCCGGTGCAGATCGCTTACCTTTTCAAACGTGACACATGCTTATAAAATTGTCCGTCTCGTGCGAAATGCGAGTTGAACTCCAATGAGGGACTTTTAAGTTAAACGCGGCCAATCAACACCACCAATTATCTCGCCCTTACCTCAGCAGACATGGGTCGTCTTGCATTTAAACGAGCGATGTTTGAATTCGCGTATTTCATAGCTGAAACCCGAACGCCGCTGTTTCCAAGTCACCGACGGCCGCCATGTCGTCTTGAGCCGGAAGTGAGGGCGATGTCACGCGAATTTCACATTTAGTGCACCTCAAATTTGCTTTTTTGTTCGTTTGTTCTTTTATAACATGTCGTGACCCCAAAAGATGAATGTGACGTTGGGGTCATTTGTGGTGACTGGGCGAGCTTGTTTATAATCGCGTTTTGGAGGCCGCCGAGTGTGTCGACTGCACGTTGAAATAAAGTTTTCCCACTGTCGTGACGTAATTTGTTCCGCGTTGGCCCTGACGTGGCACCGAGGAGGAGGAGGAGGAGGAGGAAGAAGAAGAAGAGAAACAAGAGGTCCGAGCTTCCAGCGAGTTTCGGCCTCCCGGTTGGACCATTCCCCGACGCCGAACGCGAGGAGCGCTCATCTCATCTCGGACGAGAACACCCTCTTGACAAAATGGGGCTGACGATCTCGACGATGTTTGCCAGGCTCTTCGGCAAGAAGCAGATGAGAATCCTGATGGGTGAGACGAGCTCAAGCGAGCTAACTCGCTAGCCGGCGAGCTCTTACGCTTCCGAGCCGGCGCCGCTTGCGCTTGCGCTCCTTTGAATGCGTCTTTTGGGTTTCGGACGTTCTTTTTCTCCCCCCGCCCCGATTCAAACGGGTCGCGGGGGGGCCTCCGTCGCGCCGCGGAACCAGCCGTTGTCGAGTTCGCCGTCACCGTTGTGGAACGCGCCGTTGTTTTGGCGGCTTCGTGTGTCGACCGGAAGCTTCGGCTGACCGCTGTGTGTCTTTTGTTGCGCGACAGTGGGCTTGGACGCAGCTGGCAAAACCACCATTTTGTACAAACTCAAGCTGGGGGAGGTCGTCACCACCATTCCCACCATCGGTAAGCGAGCGAGCCAGCCTGACGTCATCACGGTGGCTGTCTCCACCGTTCAAAAAAGAAGCGGTGTCCGAGTTTGCTTTTGTTTCTGCCCCGTGATTGGCCGGGGGGGGGGGGGGGGGGGGGGGGGGGGGAACGAGTCTTGCCCCTCAGCCTCAGTCAGCGGAGATGGACGCAGGCTTGCCCTTGCTCGCCATCCCGACGAACTGAGGAAAGGCCACTCGGTCACGTCCGGGTTTTGTCCTCTTTCAGGCTTCAACGTGGAGACGGTGGAATACAAGAACATCTGCTTCACCGTTTGGGATGTTGGCGGCCAGGACAAGATTCGACCTCTCTGGAGACACTACTTCCAGAACACGCAGGTTGTACGCACACGTGCGCGCGAAGCTTTTGGGGCCAGATATCAAACGCGTGGCGCATTTCCGATTGTCGCTCCGACCCGTTTCTGACACTGTTGGGACAAATCCCCTCACCGCGCCTTTTTCTCGGCTTCGCGCCGCAGTCCTCGACGTGACGTCGCGAGTTCTTTGTAGCAGCGGCGCCGATTGTTTTGACGTCGTCAACCGCGCGTGGCGATTTTACCGGTCGGGCCCACTCGGAAATCGATCTGCGTCCGCGCGGCCCCCGAGCGAACGCGTGTTTGACGGCCGCGTCCCAACGGGTCCCTTGCGCCGGCAGGGTCTGATCTTCGTGGTGGACAGCAACGACCGAGAGCGAATAGCGGAATCGGCCGAGGAGCTTTCAAAGATGGTGAGCGAGCCGAACGGGCGGGCGGCGCGACGAGATGAGCCGATCTTTGTGAGCGACGCCGCCGTGGTGTGCGCAGGTCCAGGAGGACGACCTGAAGGACGCCGTGCTGCTGGTGTTTGCCAACAAGCAGGATCTTCCCAACGCCATGGCTGCCAGCGAACTCACCAAGAAACTGGGCCTGAACGACATGCGCAGCCGCACCGTACGTATGGCTCGCTCGCCGTCCGCGCGTCGCTTTGAAAGCCGGCCTAACTCTCTTTTCCGCCTGCGCTCAGTGGTACGTGCAGGCCACCTGCGCCACTCAGGGGACGGGGCTCTACGAGGGCCTCGACTGGCTGTCCAACGAGCTCGCCAAGCACTAGACGGCGTCCGGCGAACCCAAAGTGGCGGGAGGGAAGGGAGGCGTGGAATTTCACAGGACTGTTTCTTCTTCTTCTTCTTCTTTTTTTTTTTTAAATTATAAACGTGTCAGCGGGAGGCAACTTCTCAGACTCTCGTCCGTCACTCCTTGCGTTCCTCGCGTTTGTTTTCCTACGCATGTTTTTAGTCCGAGTCGTGTGACGGGACGGTCGGAGAGGAGCGGAGCTCGCAGCCGTCGCGGAGCTCGCAGCCGTCGCGGAGCTCGCAGCCGTCGCGGCCTCGTCATTGTTGTGAAATGCAATAAAGGTGTTTTGGTTTTTTTTCTTTGAGGAGTCGGCTGAGCAAATGGCTTATTTTATTGATCGTCAATCAGGCCCACAGCAAATTGTTGAACCATTTTATTGAAAGGCGACAACACCGTTTTGGCTTTGCGACTCTAAACGCTGATTGGTTCCTGCTGGTTGTGCTGACGTTTGACCACAAAAACCTTCTGACCCGAAGCGGTCACGGTGAAAACGAAATCCTCCAGGATGACTGAAGAGAAGACAAGAGGAGAGGTTAGTCACTCTGGGAGCGAGCGAGCGAGCGAGCGTCAGTGCGTGCGTGCGAGCTACCCGACATGCGTTTGAAGGGCACATCGGCCAATCCCGCCAACCGAAAGCGACTGGCCGTGCGAACCATCTGCATCATCACGCCGGCTGTGTGCTCATCGTTTTCCAGCTCACCTGAAGACTGGAAGATGCAAAATCAATTGACGGGCCAACGTCTTCCTTCCTTGCCTCTCGTCGAGTGAACGTGAACGTTCCTGGAATCTCGTCATGCAATATTGGCGCTGCCACGTCTGTTGCAAATAGCCAGAAATGGCAAAGACGCCGCTCACGACTGGGAACGTTTGCCCTCTTGAGCATCGACTTATCTGGTACGTGAGGGAATCGACGTTTATCACTCCGCAGAAAGACTGAAAGAGTCCCAGCGGCAGGCAGGCAGACATGCAGTCGGTCGCGCTTCAGGCCGGAACCCCGGTGACCACTTAAGGCCGTATCTCACTTAGCGCTTTGCAAATGAATTTTCGGCGGGTTTCATTTAGGATCGCAAGGACGTTCGCCCACACTTTAAAGCAGTTCTTTTTCGCAAAGAAATGTTTCACATATTCAAAATCAAAATTTGAGGGCGACAAGAAAAAGTGTTTGCAACCATTGGCTGGCGATCGTCTTTGCAACATTGAACGAACCCTCCAAAAAAAAAAACACAATCGGGACACAAGTTGCAAACCGTTGCCACTCGGTGAGCTGTGGGCTTTTGACAACTCCCGCGACAAAAAGGGTCAACTCGTCGCTGAACGCGATCACTCACGGCTAAAACGCCGTCCTCGCTGATGACCAGATAGCCGAGCTGGTCCGGGATCCGCTCCAGCCCCGCCGTCACCGCTGCAGTCGTCTGCAACGACCCGGTGGACATTTAAACGAGGTACAGCGACTCACTTTGACATTCAAGTATCGCCATTGAAGGCCGAAAATGGACTTTTCGCCGCTAAACTCACCATCCTTTCTTCCTCTTTTATTTACACTTCACCGCGATGTGATGTCACTTCCGCGTTTTGACACGTGACTGCCCGCGTGCGCTTCGGCGGGCGTCGGCGAGTCTCCCCCGAGCCTCCCGCGCTGCCTTCCAACAAACGCAGGGCTTTCGCAGCAGCAGAAGCGCGAACTCTCAGTCGGTGTCCGTCTCACGAGACATCGAGTGGAGCATCTGATGAGAACGTACTTGATGTATTTCGCCTCCTATATTAATTTCAAAGTATCTACCCGTGTGTGAAAGACAAAAAAAAACGAGCCGTCGTATACTCGTTGTGTGTATTTTGACATGTTTGGGCTGCCGTCGTACGTCGCGGCGCGTACTGTCTGATTTGTATCCACTATTTGATTTTATTTTTGTGCGGCCATTGTACAGGAAAAGGGCTGACGTCGATTGAACTGTCTCTGAGGTTCGGGCGCACATACGGCGATGATAACGTGCGACGATTTGAGCCGTGACAAATTAAAACGCAAACGTCAGAAAATAAGTGGATATATTCTCTTGTGTTTTTCATGAATGAGCTCATAGCCAGACGAAAATATGCTACTCCACATTTAATCGATGACAGGCCAAAGAGTTCAAATGCCTGTCAGAAATGTTGCGTCCTAAGCATATAAGGCATTTTCTGACCCCCCCCAAAAAAAAGCTGTAAAAGCTGCACTGCCTAGATTTAACAGCACACATTGAAGTAATTCCACCACAAGGTGACATAGAAGTGGTAACAAAATCGTTTGAAGTCGTAGCTTCGTGTAATTAAAAAAAAAAACCCAACAAAAACTTCCGGTCTCGAGATTGCACCGGTAACGCGATATTTGGCCCAGGTTTGACACGCGAGTTGAAGGCTCGTGTCAGCTTCCGAGCTGTAGGGGGCGCCCGCGTTACGCTGTGGTGACAAGCGACGGAAGTGGCGGTCAGGCGACCGTCACGTGATCTGCGACTGATGATCGCTCGTCATTTTGACCGTTCGCCTCGTTATTTTTCTCTCCCGAGCTCGGTGTTCGCGATGGCCGGCCGCGGGAAGCTTATCGCCGTGATCGGCGACGAAGACACTTGCACCGGATTCCTCCTCGGCGGCATCGGCGAACTCAACAAGAATCGCAAACCGAATTTCTTGGTGGTGGAGAAGGACACGAGCGTCACGGAGATCGAGGAGACCTTCAAGTAAGCGCCGCATTTAGCGATGGAATAGTCGGTCCTCCTTTTTTGTTGAAATCGTGACGCGCGTTCCATGTGAAACGGAACCAGGCAACTCGGAGGCCTCCTTCGAACTGGCCGAACATTTGCACACGTAGCGGGACACCCGTTCTACTCGTGCATACTTGTGCGTACGTTTCAATGAACGGCTTCTTTTTGTTCGTACGGGTTTAGAAAGGAATGATTTTTCCCTTCGTGCTCAATGTCCACTCTGAAAGGATGTCAAATACCTGGCGCAGGCACTTGATAGAAGGTGGGCTTATTGTTTGAGCGGCCTAAATCCTCCACCCGTCCGTGATCTGAAACGCTTTGTCCACACAAGGGTCGCGGGCCGCCGCAATCGTCTTCGGGCGGTAGGCGGGGGACACCCCGCGCCGGTCGCCAGCCCATCGCGGGGTTTCGAACGATTACTTACCGATTGTCTCCATTTGTTTGGAGCCGACGAGTTTGAAGATGTCGTGGCAGCTGCCCGCGTTTCCACTTTTGCTCTGGAGATGGAGCGACTCCAGTCGAGCTGTCGCCGCTCTAGTTTCCGCTTCCCCGCCACCATTTTTCTCAGTGCTCGGTCTACACCATTCAAATGTATACGGTCACCGAATGCGATCTTGTATCCTTTTCGTGGTCGACTCGTACACTGTCAGCGGTGGCCCGTACGATGGATTGGTTGATTTTTCCCCGGGCTGCTTTAGTTGTCGTTGCGCTTTTCATGATTACTTTAGTGCGGACGGTTTGGCAGGGTTCTAATTGAGCAAATCCAGTAGCCATAAACCAAGTGAATGAGACGGTGATATCGAACCCGTAAGCGTACGCCGCCAGTCACGATTGTGAGATAATGGACTCGGAACGGTCGCTACATACAGCAAAGTTCATTTTCGAGAGGCTCTCACGACTCCGTCGAGGGAAGAGCGCTTTCTGCTGGTTTTGTTGTCTTTGTTTATGATGTGACTTGATCGCCCTCCAACATCCACCTTCCACCTTCTTGGAAATTGACCAAGTGCATGTGCGTTTCCGTTTGTTTTTCTAAAGCCAAACAAGGGAGACGCCGGTGAAGTGTGTCATGGCCTTTTTCTGTTTTTTTTTTTTTTTTTGTGCGTGCCAGGAGCTTCTTGGCCCGCAATGACATTGGCATCATCCTCATCAACCAGTTCATCGCCGAAATGATCCGTCACGCCATCGACGCCCACATGCAGTCCATCCCGGCGGTGCTGGAGATCCCGTCCAAGGAACATCCCTACGACGCTTCCAAGGACTCCATCCTGCGGCGCGCCAAGGGCATGTTCTCGGCCGACGACTTCCGATAAAAAGAGAAACGCTCCAAACTTCGCCTTTGCTTTCTCTGATGCTGGGAGCAAAATGGCGTTTGTCTGTTGGTTGTCGCTTCTCTCAAAGCGAAAAGGTGTCATGTGATTCCCTGTCTTGTGTTTTCCATTCTTTGAAGTCTTATCGAAGTTGTGATCTTTGTCTCGCTTGCGGAAATTCTCTCATTGGTCGAGCCGGTTTCGGTCTCGGGGCATTGAAACGATGGCAGCCGGACTCTCTTTGTCTCCCAAGACCTTTCCCCTGTCATCCGATGGGGCCGCATCCGTTCAAATGCGACGAGGCTCGCTTCGGACCGCGCCGGCCCGAGTCGGCCCGGCCGACCCGCCCTCTCGACAACGGACCGGCGGAATCGCGAAGGGCTTTCCGCCCGGTGACTTAGTGGCAGACGGAGGCCTCTCTGCGAGGCATCTTCGCAACTGTCAATTTGCCTTCCGAAAGGATGACTCCATCGGTGGTTGCGGCAAGCCTCCAACTCTGGCCGCCGCCGCGGTCCTCGGCGAGCCTTCGAGCGCAAACGGATGCGGTCGTCTCGAATGTCCGAGACGGGGCGCGCGAGTCCGCTTGTGACCTGCTCTTTGTCATTTCAACCTGGGAGTGAGTTGTTGTCATGGAAATGACTTGCGTCCCCTGACAGCCGGGGGGGTGGGGGGGGGGTCGCTTTGTCACGGCTGGGGTCGAGCACAGTGGCTATGGTTCCACCGCCGGCTGGAGCCCGCTCTCGGAAAGGGACGTGCAAAGTGGCTGCCATCTTGAAGCGGATGAAACGTTCTGGGGGAGCCTTTGCCTCCTTCTGTTGTTTTGAAACGCTCACGATGCTCACGGTTGAATACTCTAAATTGTCCCCGGGTGCGGGCGTGAGCGCGGATTGTTCTTCGTCCGTGTGTGCCCTGCGATTGGCTGGCAACCGGTTCAGGGTGCCCGAAGACGGCTGGGATAGGCTAGGCTCCGGCACCCCCCGCGACCCTTGTGAGGATGAAGTGGATCCGAAAATGGATGGATGATGCTAACAGTAACGACCAGAAGGCTTCACATCCCCACTCAAGCTATTTCATGGATGCCAGAAAAATCGAGACACAGCCGCAGCTTTTTTTTTGGTTTTATTTTTATCTGTGATAATTGCCGAAAATGGTCTCATCTGTCCAAAATGCTCTCTCAAATTCTCTTGGCTGGTTCTGCCCAGAAGCCACTGTGGCTGCTGCCCCCCCGCACGTGCTGTCCAAATTAATCTTACATACTGTTCTTTCATGTTTCGATGATGTTGCTGATATGAAAATAGTATCATGTTATGTATTTGTTTTGTGCTCCAATAAAAAGGTATTTAAAAAAAAAAAAGCACCTTGTTGACGGGGTGGCCAAGATGGCGGCTCGAAGAGGCGGATATCGCAGGTCTCACAAAACGTCTCGATTGAGAAGGAGATTCAAAAAAAAACCCGAGGATTCTCCACCTCACTTTGACCCGATTTGAAACAACGAACCGCTGACGATGCCGACGTCAGGTCGAAGCTTCCGCTTCAGTCCCGAGCTTTGCTCCGATAGGTGGCGGCGACGCACCTGCGCGCTGCTCGACGCTGTGCGGAATGTTTGTTGTCCCCCGCAGGCGAGGAATCCGCGACGGTACGTATCGTTGCATTTCCGGGGTGGACGTGTTCCTACGGCGTTGGCGTTCGGAAGGTGGCGACCGTTGCTCTTAGCTCCAATTCGCGCTTCGCCTGAAGCCGGCGAAGTTTCTCAAGACGAGTTTGGATTGTTTTGAGCAGTACCGTGGGCGTCATGGATTTTCCAATTGGCGCGTCACCTTTTCACCCCTCCCCGACGCGATGCCTTGTACTGCCATCGACATTACCCCCCCCCCCCGCAGAGCTGCTCATGCGCTCAAAACGAAGACGCTGAATGGAGAAAGAGCAGATCTGAGTCGCGCAACTGATCGCGCCCCCTCGAGTGGCTGCATGTTTGTCACACGAACCCAACTCAAGTTTTTACTCGTGCAAGCGAAGGGGAAAAGTCGAGCGAACTGAATCCGCGCAGAACAGATTTCAATTTGGAATTCTAACACCGAAAGTGAAACAAATCGATCCAGATGAGAGATTTCAGTGAGCAATTTAACAAATGGAGCCAGACGGTCGAGATTCAACTTCATTTCAGCCGTCGCGTTGGGCGTGCATCGCGAACGGCGACGGAACGCGAATGCGAACAAGTTTCCCGTCTTTTCAGCTCGAGGCAATTCAAGAAACACAAGTCGACCGAAAAGGAGCCGGAGGTCGTTCCCCTGAACCGGAGCGACAAATATTGACTCTGTGACCTCCTGCTTCCCTTTGGCCCGGAGCGGAGCGACGACGAGGAGAGGCCACGCGATCGATCGCGCGGCCTCAGACGCCGGCCTATAAAAAGCGGAGGGCCCGCCGCGGTCCAAGTTCAAGTTCTCGAGTGCCGGCGGCGAGATGAAGTGGCTGCTGGTGTTTGCGAGCGTCACGACGTGCGTTTCGGCTCGTCCGTCTCATCGGCTGAGCAGGTGAGAGCCGAGAGAGCCGGGAGGGCCGGGAGGCCTGCTCGACGCGGGACTGACTCGGCCTTTTCTTTTTCACAGAGACGCGGAGGCGCCGCAGCTGCCGAGGCAAAATATGACGCGGTGAGTTCACGTTCTGCCGTCCGCCCGAGTGACTTTGCCGTCTCACCGTTCCCCCCCCCAATCCCTCGTATTTTCTCCGCGATCTTGCAGGTTGGTGTCCTGCGACGACGTCAACCGGACACCGGCTGACTCGGCGCGCTCAGTTGAAAGGTACAAAAGTCGAGAGTGGAATGTCCTCTTCCGTCACGGGTCGGACATTGACTCGTCGGCAAAGGTCGAGCGGAGGCGGCCCTTTTCTTCCCCTTTCGTCCAAAAGGCTCGCTCACCTCCAAATCTCGAGCTGCGGCCTCCGCGCCGCGCGGCGTTTCCTTCTTCAGCCCCCGATGGCGGCCAGCCCGCGGCAGCGCAATGTGCGGTCAAGCCACTTGATCGACCGTGCGCGGCGGTGAGGGGCCGCCGGGCGAGTGGGCGGCACTGCCACGGCGATGCACCTTGATCGACTGCAAAAAACCAAAAAAAAAGCCCCCATCGGATCGGAAAGCGGCTGGCGGGCCCCTTTGCCGCTCTCTCTCTCTGCGCGCTCACTTCCAGGTGACCTCGCCGAATGCGGCGCAATTGAAAGACACGTCAAGCGCGGGGGCTTTCTTTCGCAACGGTGAAAGATCCGTCGCGGATGTGCAACGGGCACGTCGCCCGCCAGCCTTCTTTTGCGGGACGCGAAGGAGCCGCAGACTCGGGAGGCCGAGAAGCGAAGGCGCGCCGCCGTCGTGTTGTGGCCCTTGCGGGAGAGGCTTTTGCACTCCTCACGAGACTCGAGCGCAAAAGCCACAAGCAGCTTTTCCTGAGGGCGGGCGGGCGGGATGTTGTCCTCCCTCGGGGTCAAGCGCCTTTTGCCCGAGGCCGCGGCTGACTTTGAAACGCGTGGGCGTGTTTGGTTCGGACAAAATCCTTCTTTGGAATTTCTCTGACCAAGCGGCGAAAGGACAAAGTTAGCCGCTTGGATGAAAGGTGAAAGGTCGTCACGCGCGGTCGCCTCCACGCGTCCGTCGCGCGTGACACAGAAGCCGCACGCGCACGCGGCGTACGGTCCCCGCCGCGGCTTCGGAGCGGCCCGCGCCGGCAAGCGCCGACTCCGGATGTTTCTCCTCCTCAGCCGTTCTTCCCAGTCGAGGTCACGGCAGACGGCCGACCGCGGCTCCGAGCCGGCACCGGGCGACGCGTGGACGCTGACGTCGCGGGAGGCGCCGAGCGCCTCCTCGGTCACCCTCAACGCGACCTCGGAGGACGGCGCCGCCTTTCCCGGGTGAGTCGGGACGACACGTGGCCGTTCGCGTTCGGTCGGGACCGCTCACCTCCTTTTGTTTCTTGTCGTCCGCGTTCGCAGTTCGTCCGTGCGGGAGCCCTACCCGGCGGCTGCCGACGTCGCCGTTTCTTCCAGGTACTGCCCCCTGGCCACCTGCTCCGTCGCGGACCTCGGCTCCAAGCTTCAAGCCGGGGAGGAGACGGCCGGCGCCTCCGCGCGGGACTCGTCGGGATTTGGAAAAAAATGAGTGTCCTCGTCGTCTTTGGCCTCCCGCTCGCCTCGGCGTTTTGTATCGCGGACCGGGTCGCCGCGCTCATCCGTTTCTTCCCGATGACCGCGGCGGCCATCGCTCGATTTGCCGCGAGGTGGCGCCGACCGGGGTCTTTGGCCCGAAAGGCGCCTCTGGCTCGGCCACAGCGCGCGCTCGCTCGCTTTCGGGTGGCGGAGGCGGCGGAGGAGGAGGAGGAGGA